CCCCTTGCAGAAAGCTGCTGATCTGCAGAGCGACCTCCTGCCCCGGGGGGACCCCCCTCCTCCTGGGGACCACTGCAGTCCTGAGGTGCCACCCCAGCACAGGTACCCCGCACCCGCAGGCTCCCGCCAGCCCCTACCAGCGCCTTCTGCTCCCGGTCCATGCTGAGCTGCTCCAAGTAGCGGTCGAGGTTGTCCCGCTGGAGGCAGCGCAAGGCCAGGACGGGGTCCTGCAGTGCACGGTACAGCGCCGGCGCGTCCTGTCTCTCCAGGGCATCGTCCACCTCCTCCAGAGCTCCGTGCACTAGGAGAGAGGCCAGTTTACACCCAGAGAAAGTAAGTAGGTGAATCATCCCACAGCTCCAGGGAGAAAAGGGAGCTCCAGCTGAAGCCTGCATACCGATGATTTTAATTTCTTCTTGGAAATGCACACCCAGCTCTGCTCCCCGCCGGGTCTGAAGCTGGCCTGAGCAGACAGCTCCTTCCTGCTATGCCCACCACCCTGGGCAGGCTGTCCCCTGCGGCCTGGGGTCCCACCGATAAGCTCTGGAGAACCCCCAGGAGGGAAGCCACAGCTTTGCTCACCGTTCACTTTGTTGACATTCCCTTGGATTTCAGCCTGGGTCAGACACCGGTCGTAGATGTCCTCTCCCTCAGGGATCACCTGCAGGTACTGGAAAGGGACTCCCCACCCTGAGCTTTCCACCCAAGCACACCCCAACAGCATGCAGCAGGGGTCCCCTGCACATGCCTGGGCTCGTTTCCCAACCCCAAACCCTGGTCCCCCAAAGAGGAATCATTTCCCCACCACTTTCCCCCCCATCTTCTGATCAGCACAAGGGCTCCCAGGCTGCGTTTCACCCACTAAGCATGGGGACGGCCTCTGACCGAGAGGGACCCCTCCGGCTGGAAGCACCCACCAGCACATCAGCCAAGGGGCTGCTCCTCTCCCAGCCCCCCCGGGACCCCCTGTGCCCTCCTCACCCTGTTCCTGGCGTTGCTGCCCTTCTCCAGCTTCGCCTGGTGGAGCACCTCCTGGTAGGCGCCCGCCAGCACCTCGCGCAGGTTGAGAAGCATTGCGCTGGGGTTGCGGAGGGCCACCATTGTCTGCGCCGCCACCCCCCGATCCACCGCTTCGTTGATTGCCAGCACCGCGGCGTGGACTGGAGGCGAAGCGGGAAGGAGGCAGGTGAGACGGGGCACGGAGGGCCGCGACAGACCATCCACTATATCCCTGCACGCAGTGGGACAAGCCGTGCCATGCACGATGGTGGGAACCCCCCCTTCTCAAAGAGCAAGCTGCAGGCTCCAGCGCCTGGGAAGTCTTGGTGCCTCTACAGCAAGCTAATGCAAAACCCCAGGTGCTGCTGGCTGGGAAGGGGCTGTGCCGGCCCTTGCAGCCATGCATGGGTCTGAAGGAGAGCATCTCTCAGAGCATCTCTGTTTGCTGGCTCCAGGTTTGGTGTTTGGGGGCTGAGCCGAGATCCTGCTACAGGCTGACGTGCAGCACCCTTCGCGGGCACCCATTACCTGCTGCTTCATCCACCGACAGCTCGTTGGCCAAAATGCCTCCAATCTTGCTGAAGGCAGGCAGCTGCAGGCCGTACTTCTCCAGCTCCCGCTTCATGTTGTTGATCTCCTCCTCTGGAACAGAGCACAGAGGCATCACCACTCAGTACCAGCACCGTGGTCCAGCACTGGAGTGGGGGCAGCCAGCAGAGCCCCCCGTTCCCCTGCCAAACCAGAGGGGTGCAGAAGACACCCACACTGGGGTAAGCATCACCAAGGCAACTTTGGAAAAGCTTGCCCAAGGTCTTCATTCTCCACATCCCTCCCGCTGCAGGGATCTGAGACCATTGTTGTCAAACCCTCCTCACCAGCCCCCAGCCCAGGTATCCCCATGCGGCACCGTACCCGTGAAGTCCACTTTCCCGTACAAGTCCTGGATCTGAGGAGCCAGCCCCAGCTTGAAGAGGTACAAGCTGAAAGACGAAGCAGACACACACCATGACCCTGCAGTCACTTGCTTCTCCCTCCCGATGCTTCTGCAACACCCGAGGCTGTCGCCCCAGCCCTGGGGGTGATGCCACCGAAGGGTTCGTGAGCCCAAACACAAACCACGACAACAGTTTTGGCCCCGGGGCCAGACCAGGGACACCCACCTGAGCGCATGGATGCAGTAGACCACCCGGGGCATGTTCTTCTTGTCATAGATGTCGGTGGTCTCCGGGTGGAAGATCTGCCAACAAGACAAGAGACAGCTCAGGTGGAGATGCCACCGAGGTGGTCCACGGCAGGGGGAGATGGTGACCAAGGGTGGGGGGACAGAGACGAAGCCCTCCTGCAATGCCAGCACTCCCCCGAATGAGCCGAGCCGGCAGCGCGTGCAGCCCCGGTGCTGCCACAAGGGCAAAGGCCAGCACGTCCCTTGGCCCGGGGAGAGCGGAGGGGGGACATTACCGAGGGAAGCCCCAGGTGGCTCATGGCATCGCGCCAGTAGTTGATGTTATCTGTGTGCCGAAAGTGAAGCCCGGCTGCCTGGAAGAGAGGAAGCCAGGGTCAGGCTGAACTCCGCCTTCTCCCATGCCTGGGGGTCCCCTCTCCCCCAAACCCACCCAGCCAGGGCACGAGGTAAAGACAGAGGCAAAGCCTGTGACCCCCAGGGCAGCGCAGCTCAGAGACCCCGTCTGCAGCCCTGCTCTATTAAATTGTCCCTTAACAATTGCAATCAGTACGTCCCTCCTCACTTTGCATTCACCAGCAATGGAAAGGTCCCTGCAAGTTTTGGGGTACGTCCCAGGGAACGCACCGCCCCCCAGTGCCGCAGCCTTACCTTGTACCGCGTTTGCTCACGGTCGTAGATCTTCTTCAGAGGGACCACGGCGGGGGCAAAGCGGTGGCCCATCTTGGCCAGGACGACCCCATTGCACAGGCTCTCTTC